GATGTATGTAATCTTTTCCCAGTTGCGATCGATGCTCATGATGTCCATCATTGGCTTGTCTGGTACAGACTTGAATATTTACCGACCGCATGCCTACCATGCACAGTGAATACAAAACTGCAAAGGTTGTATAGCATTCTAAGCTTTAAGATGTATCGATATCGCTGTAAGCACGTACAATGAACTAAAAAAAGATAAATGGTTATGTGCCATGTGAACAAAAAGACTAGTACTGTTACTTACAAATTCCTTCTTCAATACATAAGCTCTGGGACTAGATTAAACGCAGGTGACTACTCCGGTGACTCTCGACTGGCAGAGTATTCAACAGACCCGGACCCAAATATAAGCGACATAATTAATTCCATAATCATAAAAATCTGTGGTCCATGTGATACAATGGTGAGGATGTGTGAACTGATTGCAACTGATTGTGTATTCCTTCTCTTTGACTGTGTTGCAGCCTCTTGGTCAATGTTTTATTATACATACCTACTCAAAACTACATATCTTGATGACAGAGCAATTGTGTTTGGATATTTTCCACGGCTTACTAACCATTTCATACTAATCAGAGTGATGATACCAGGTGTTCGCGGAATGGTGAGCGTATCCTGCCCCACAGGATGCACAATCAAATGCAAAAGCAAGTTAATGGTTCGCTTGAACAAACGGGAACATATGGTACAAATCAAAATAAGGAATTGCATTGGACATAATTTTTGTCACTGATGCGTCGAATTTGGATATGTCCTCCACATGTCCGCCTTAAAGCTTTTTGATTTTTTTACTGAGTCCTTGAAATGCAGCCTTGTTCAAACAACTTTGGAGTCGTAGACGCTCTTTGAGATCTTCGAAGAGAGATCATGTTTGATTTACACCTTTGGACACCAAAGGCTGGAGCTGCTGGAATATTACTCGACACAAAGGTAAAATTGACTATTGGAAAGTTGAAGTCATTCAATCTTGTGAAGAGGTTGTTTTTGTCACTCTGAATCTTAATGCAAAGATTAAAATATAAAACTGATGAGACTATTGATTTACACGACGTCCCCTGGCATAATTCTCTCATCTTGCATTTATAGGATATCATTGACTGATTTTTGACAAGCTTTGTACTCTGTTTACTGAGTGGAACAGTCTCTTCTGCCTATTGATATACAGTCCTCATCTGCGAGATCTATGTTCTACGACATTGTGTGTTACATTCACTGCATGCACTTGTCGGCTTGGTGATTCATTACACCGTGGGAACGCATCATAGATGCTCAAGTGGCAACTGGTGCTTCTTAACATTTTCAATTATTACTGGTTATTTCGTTTCCGAAGCACAAACAAACCATATTTTGTATTGATATTTTTGCCATTAACATCGAGGAAATCAACCAAATTGGAAAAAGCCCAATGTTTGCATCGGTCTGGGTTTGCCTCCCTCAGTACGCTGACAGGCATATGATATAAAATACTGTTAGAGCGACATTGGGCTGCTTTCACCGACTTGTCCAATTTTGTGTTTGCTAAATTTTAATTCACAAAGTTTTTCGAACACCTGGTGTCATCACTCATTTTCAAAGGTCCATGGGTATAATTTCCACAGCTCTTTGCCCTTTAAGCCAAGTGGAATCTGTTTCGGCAGAAAATCTAGACTGGTTATTCTCTTGCATTGACAATAATTTAAATACATGTTGTTGTTTTTTGTTACGTTTTCTGTGATAAAAATGCAATTTTTCATTGACCTTCATGAATCTCAAATTATATTCCTCACCCATAACTTGGTGAAATCGTTGTTTTATGTCAGAAAACACATTTCAACCTCAAGAGTATATATATATTTCCAAGTGTTAAGTCAAAACTCCTGACAAACGAGGTCGTGAGTAATGACATTTCACTGTGTACTATGGATACCTCAGCGAGTGAATGAGTATGGTTTTCCGTCACTTTTAGCAATATTCCAGCAATATATCACGGCGGAGCACGACAAACACAGGCTTCACACATTGTACCCATGCGGGGAATCGACCCCGGGCCTTCGGCGTGGCGAGCGAACGCTGTAACCACAAGGCTACCCCACCACCTCTGGATACCTAACATCGGACTATATAAGGTAATTTTGTCTCAGAAACGTAAATACACGGTACATATAAAGTAAAGAGAAAATTTACTGACCAAACGTACTGACAGGGAAAATAATGACATGGGTCGTATATTCCTTTCATCTATATAATTACCCTAGTGATTGAGTGAGTATGGTTTTACGCCGCTTTTAGCAATATTCCAGCAGCAATATCACGGCGGGGACACCAGAAATGGGCTTCACATATTGTACCCATGTCGGGAATCGAACCCGGGTGTTCGGCGTGACGAGCGAACGCTTTAACCACTAGGCTACCCGACCGCCCCTATAATTACCATGACAATCAGAATAACTCTACGTTCAGTTCGGATGTTATCAGCGAAAATGAAAATGAAATGTTATGTTCAAATAATGTTATCAGCAACTATGACATCAAAATATGACACGTCTGGTATCTGACATCGCTCCCTTTTCGCTCTCCAATAAACTGCTACACTTTAAATCTTATTTGTAAGTTACACCACAGGAACAATGTAAGGACGAATGCGAGACTTATTAAGACACTGCTAACAGTGCATGAAGCGTATGTAAAATCTCTCCGTTCCGCTGTTCTAATAAAATGCTGCTTCATTTGACTGACATGCTTGATGTCGCTATCAGCGCTCGATATCACGCCTGCTGCAGGCCTTATGGAGTCACTGGGTGAATAAGATTTAGTCCGATACGATCACCTTAGCAAGAACCTTGTACTAGCACTATTTCATAGTAATTCAAAACTATAGGAATGGTAGGAGTAGCCTAGTGGTTAAAGCGTCATGCCGAAGGTCCAGTTGGATACAGAATGTGAGGCCAATATTGCTAAAAGCGGCGTGTAACATAAACACGTGGTTATGATGTAGTTAGAATCGTACAATGGACTTTCTCATGTCTTATAATTACGGAATGGGATGTGTCGCTTTTATTTACAAATTATAGAGTGCACGACAGACCTACTGCAATGTGCACGACAGACCTACTGCAATGTGCACGACAGACCTACTGCAATGTGCACGACAGACCTACTGCAATGTGCACGACAGACATACTGCAATGTGCACGACAGACATACTGCAATGTGCATTCCATCTTGCTTCCTCGCGGCTTAAGTTTGAAAATTCTAATTTTATTACCTTCAGCAAAGAGGCATAGAGGCAAGTCCAGTCCTGAAAACGTAACAAAATAATGTCCTTCATTGGACTGAGAGCTCTCAACCTTAATTAAAACACATGTGACTTCACTCTATTGTTTAGACGATCCATTATATTTCGCGCAGGGACAGTTAGTTGACAGTTAGGTATTCCTGCCAATATTTCGAATTAACTTTCAATTAACGGAAATGTATTTTTTAATAACACGTGTCGACAGAGGGGCTCGTTCTCGTTTATTATAACTTGAGGACGTGCAGCTGTCCACCTGGTACAAAGCGACCAATGACAGAACCCTGTGGAGTTAACTATTAAAATGCAAATATGTGAAGAACCCTCAGAGGTTTAACAAATATGTTCATTATTGTGTTATAAAATATTACCAATAACGATGTCCATATAAAAGTGGGGCGCTGGGGTAGCACAGTGGTTAAAGTGTTCGTTCGTCACGTCGAAGACTCGGGTTCGATTTTCCCCACATGGGTACAATGTGTGAAGTTCATTTCCGGTGTCCCCCGTCGTGATATTGCTGGAATATTGCTGAAAGCGGCGTAAATCAATAATCACTCACTCATATAAAAGTAGGGGCACGGATGGACCAGTCGCCTAAGGCGCCGTAATTCGCTGTGCAGAGTTGCGTCCCTTGGACACGCCAGAAACCTATGGTCGTGGTTTCGAAACCCGGTTCGCCCCGATTATGTTTCTAGGTTTGTCAGCACAATACTCCAAAGTGGTAAACAGAGCATACGTCACTTCGGACTTTCGTCCCACATCAAGCTGAGGCGCTGTAATATGACTGGAATACTGTAAAAAGCGACGTTAACCTCACTCACCCACTCACTCATATAGAGAATTTCATAAAGCGTGCATTCGTGAAAATAACACACCCCGGTGCTTAGCGCGCTCATGCATTTTTTTCACGAATCCACGTTTTTTCGCTCTTGCTTCATGACGTAAAAATCACCTTGTGGCGACGATTAACGCTCGTGCAGCATTATCATCAACACATTCTCAAAGTATAAATCTATAAAACAAAGGGTTCTGGTTTATATATTTCAAAATACTTACCACTTACTTACTACTTAAATATTTATTTTTGTCAAAATCTAAAAGTGTGGATATATTTTAAGTTTAATAATGTATGAATGTTAGGGGTTGGGCGATTCTTATTCACGAACCTACAGCTACTCTTGAGTTCTCTTGGACATTTGTCGTTGAAACATGATTGACAGTACACCTATGACATGACCACAACTTTCAAAGGATCTGAAATATCTTCGCCAATAACCCCTCCTTCAGATTTAGCCTGGGTCAGGACAACCTAACCCTAACCCTAAATGCGTTTCTATAGCTCTAACCAGGAGTTATGTTGGGTTTTTTAAAAATTCGAGCCAGGGGTTTACGGTCGGAGAGTTTACCAAAGGATGAGTTTGTGTTCGATGAGAAGCAAAAGTAACTTGAAATTTTACACTGTAGTGTTAGTCGATGAGTGGTATTGACATTACATATATATCAAGGGGAGTCGTCTTATTACGGAAATTATGCAAAAGTGGCCTAGGTTAAAGACGCCCATTCACTAAAGGTACTGACAAACCCTAATAAGATTCGATTTAAATAAAACCTAGGTCATCGGATCCTGGCACGCTAAGGAAATCGAATCTTCACCGCGCATCCTTAGGCCACAGGGACGCCTATGACACTGTCACTGTATAGAACGAATGATGTACTACCAAGAAATGAAAAAAGATTCAAGTATTTTATTTCAACACATCAGTGGTATGTCAGTTAGTGACCAGTTGGGAAGGTGAATAGGCCAGTCCAGTTCATGTCGAATTCTGTCAGAGAGATGTGGCCATCATCTGTAAGAGTGAGTGAGTGAGTGAGTTTGGTTTTACGCCGCTTTAAGTAATATTCCAGCAATATCACGGCGGGGAACACCAGAAATGGGCTTCACACATTGTACCCATGTCGGGAATCGAACCCGGGTCTTTGGCGTGACGAGCGAACGCTTTAACCACTAGGCTACCCGACCGCCCCTCATCTGTAAGAAGCAGAGTGAGTAAGTTCTAGTAGTGATGCGTTTATATATTCACGGAGCAATGCATTCGTATGTGTATTATAAACCATGGACCCGAGGATCCGTGTAATATTTACGGGACATGGGCGTCCCAGTCGTCAAAGGCGCCGCAATTCGCTGTGCAGAGTTGCTTCCCTTGGCACGCCAGAAACCTCTGATCGTTGGTTCGAATCTTGGTTCGCCAAGATTATGTTTCTAGGTTTATCCGCACCATACTCGTGCTCGTGTGTTGCCCCAAAGTGGTATACGTGAGACCTGCATCACATCGGGCTTTCCTCCCACATTAAGCTAACACGCAGGGACGTTGTTCATAGCGGCAACTCACTCACTGCATGTAGTATTTACGGGTAAATGTTTAAGGCTGAAGACGTTACATTTATTATTTTTATCTCTTTTGGGTCAAACGTTATTCAATTTTCAGAGTAAATCCCAAAATACACCCAATGAGCAGATTAACACTGTGGGATATATACTTTTGTTTTGTTTGTTTGTTTGTTGTTTAACGCCGCACTCAGCAATATTTGGATACGATGACATGCAACAACCAAGTCAGCGAGCCTGACCACCACATGGGTTGCTGAAGATCTATTAAACCCCGGATCTTCATGGGTCAGATATACTAGTAGTAGCAGCAGCAGCAGCAGCAGCAGCAGCAGCAGCAGTAGTAGTAGTAGTAGTAGTAGTAGTAGTAGTAGTAGTAGTAGTAGTGGTAGTAGTAGTAGTAGTAGTAGTAGTAGTAGTAGTAGTAGAAGAAGTTGTAGTCGTTTGTCTGTTTGTTTAACGCCACTCTCAGCAATATTCCAGCTATATGAGTGCGGTCGATAAAAAATCGAATCTGGACCAGACAATCCAGTGATTGACATTGTGAGCAACGATCTACGCCGTCGGAGTACGATGACACGCAAGCAAGCAAGTCACACAGCCTGACCACGTGATCAGTTTGGTCGCTTCTTACGATCAGCAGTTGTTGCTGAGGATCAATCCTACCACGGAGTCCCCACTGAGTTTCATGAGAATCGATTGACAACAACATGTCCACGGTGCATTCGTTCAGCAGCTTACATTATGCCACACAAGAATGGCATGCTTATAAGACAAGTTGAGCAATCAGAATTACCGTCATCGTCGAAATAGTTACAGAAGCTGGTAACCTCCTTGGCATCAATCTGGGCGTCGAAGTTGGTGTCCAAATGGCGGAAGAACAGGGGCGTGTAGTGTGCAAAACGCAAATTCAGGAACGTCCATTTTAATTCGAACTCAAGTTTACCGATCACGTGGTCTCCTAAAAATCAAGAAAATAGATGAGACCATGAAGGTTCATGAGGTATATGCATCTACTTATACAAATAGGGGCGGTCGGGTAGCCTAGTGGTTAAAGCGGTCGCTCGTCACGCCGAAGACCTGGGTTCGATTCCCGACATGGATACAATGTGTGAAGCCCATTTCTGGAGTCCCCCGCCGTGATACTGCTGGAATATTACTTAAAGCGGCGTAAAACCATACTCACTCACCCACTTATACAAATAAAAGTGTCTGCAGCACACGATCCATTATTAAACATATATAGAGGAAATGTCCACTAGAACTGAATTTAAAAAAAGCAAAACTCAGTCCTCAAAAAAGCAAAATCCATAAAACATTTGCCACAAACCTATATCTCGGTTCATCCTAGTCATGGTTGTAGTTTGTCAGCACCACACTCTTGGTCATGGGTTCAACCAAAGTGGTAACCATCTGGGACCTGCTCTACTTCATGCATTCCCCTACATAAATCTGACACGCCGTGAGCGAGTGAGTGAGTAAGGCAAAGCTTCCTTAAAACACACTCACTCACTTTCTAAACATTAAATCGGTAGCGACAATAATTTCTACATTCAGTAAAACCTCCCTCGAGATCTTGAATATCATAGGAAATATATCGAGCCATCCGTAGATAGGGACAAGAGGAGTATTGATACAGACACCGATGGTACACTGACGTGACATCGTCGTAAACATGGTTATCGGAGTAATGGAGTTAATACTGTAGTGGCTTCACTGTAAAAGGGGCACATACATTTGAGGTTTTAAATTTAAAAAAGGTTTCTAAGAGGTTTGGTATTGTGTTAATTGAGTGGTTCACCGACCATCGCCGTCGAAATGTAACCAGAAGTTCTGACATTCTGAGGCGGTGAGCCTGGTGTCGTTGTTTTTGTCGTAGTAGCGGAACAGTTCGTCATGGGGCTCTTCCACCGACAGCTGACTGAAACAAGGAGGGAATTAAAAAAACATAGTGAAAAGTAGATGATTAAACCATTAAAACAGTCCAATATATGCACTACATTAGCCTACTCCTACAGGTGGCCGGGCACAGTGTACGACTAAAGGGACATGCATTATAGAGCGTCTTTGGGGTCCAACGTTACCAAGCAAGTCATTCCAAACGGCAAGAGTAATATTGTAATTTAGGCAACCTGACGGATACCTTGGTTGAAAGTTAAATACTTGGGTCATTTTCAACTTGTGTTGAATACACCTCACGAAGTTTGCAATTCATGGAATCATTGGGTTACTTTGGTTTTGTTTTGGCGTTGGTGGGGTAGCCTAGTTGTTAGATCCTTCGCCCGGGTTCGATTCGCCATAATTATTGGTACAGTGTTTGGAAGCCTCCGCCATGACATTGTCGTAATATTCCTGTTTGACACTGTAATGAATAAGGTTCCCTGAAACCTCTTGATACGTTTCAAGTGGATGGAGCGTCTGCCCGGAGAGCGGAAGGTCACGCGCACGCACTCACGCATCCACACATGCACACACGCACGCACGCACACACACACACACACACACACACACACACACATCGCTATGTTAGTGTAACAATCTGTAACGCGAAGCTAAACTCCATTCCAGGTAACCTTTTGAAACGTTATGGGAAGTTACTCGGAATGTTTCCAGATGAATATTTAAACAAATGTTTAACATGAAATATGAAATTGTTCATCATGCAGAACAAAATCCCTCCTGTTTAGCATATCTTATATGCACATATCTCAGAATTAGTGCTACCATTAACTGGTTGTTGTACCTCCGATAACATTATTGGCTGTATGTAGTGCTAGTCTCCACTCCCTGTACTTAACATTCCTACTACAGACGTTGTACACGTTACAGTACTTACTATACATGGGACTGAACACTTACTGCAAACGTTCTACATACAGCGGTACTTACGAAGAACACACAGATTTTCACAATGCTGAATACTTACTGCCTTTATTGTTCATACAGTGATGCATTCGAAGAGCACGTACGAAGAACATGCAGTTGTATATAGTACTGAATACGTTGTACATACAGTGGTTCTTACGAAGAGCAAGCAGTTATATATAGTATTAAATACATACTGAATACGGTGTACATGCAGTGGTACTTACGAAGAGCACGCAGCTTTACATGATACTGAATACATACTGACTGCTTTGAACATGCAGTGGTACTTACGAAGAGCACGCAGTTATATATAGGATTGAATACATACTAAATACGTTGTTCATACAGTGGTACTTACGACGAGCACGCAGCTATATATATATAGGACTGAATACGTACTAAATACGTTGTTCATACAGGGGTACTTACGAAGAGCACGCAGGTATCTATAGAACTGAAAACTTTGTACATGCGGTGGTACTTACGAAGAGCACGCAGCTTAACATGCTACTAAATAAATACTGAATGCTGTGTACATGCAGTGGTACGTACGAAGAGGACGCAGCTATACATGATACTGAATACATACTGAATGCTTTGAACATGCAGTGGTACGTACGAAGAGGACGTAGCTATACATTATATACTAAATACATATTAAATACGTTGTACATGCAGTGGTACGTACGAAGAGCACGCAATTATACACGATACTGAATATATAGTATTACTAAATACCTTGTTCATACAGTGGTACTTACGACGAGCACGCAATTATATATAGGATTGAATACATACTGAATACGTTGTACATACAGTGGCACTTACGAAGAGCACGCAGTTGTCTATAGGATTGAATACATACTGAATACGTTGTTCATACAGTGGTACTTACGACGAGCACGCAGTTATCTATAGGATTGAATACATACTGAATACGTTGTACATACAGTGGTACTTACGACGAGCACGCAGTTATCTATAGGATTGAATACATATTAAATACGTTGTTCATACAGTGGTACTTACGACGAGACACGCAGTTATATATAGGATTGAATACATATTGAATACGTTGTTCATACAGTGGTACATACGACGAGCACGCAGTTATCTATAGGATTGAATACATACTAAATACGTTGTACATACAGTGGTACTTTCGAAGAGCACGCAGTTATATATAGGACTGGATACATACTAAATACGTTGTTCATACAATGGTACTTACGACGAGCACGCAGTTATATATAGGACTGAATACATACTAAATACGTTGTTCATACAGTTGTACTTACGAAGAGCACGCAGTTATATATAGGACTGGATACATACTAAATACGTTGTACATACAGTGGTACTTACGACGAGCACGCAGTTATCTCTAGGACTGAATACATACTAAATACGTTGTTCATACAGTGGTACTTACGACGAGCACGCAGTTATATATAGGACTGAATACATACTAAATACGTTGTTCATACAGTGGTACTTACGACGAGCACGCAGCCAGAAGCACAACTAAGTACAGGATCTTCCACAACATACTGTTAGTACTCAATGTGTCTGTTCCATAAAACAAGGACTGGCGTTCTCCCTTACAGATAAGCTTTTTCACTCGTTTGACCGGAATCCGCAGATTAACATTATCAGATAATGCCACTACAATAACGACTTAGGTTATTCTGGGGTCACATTGTCTTGTAATGTTGTTGATCCCAACTTACAGGTAACAACTGTATTGATGTGTACAGGAATGTTACATGCCGGATGATGTAGCCCTTCGTGAGAATATGCAATGACTGTATTGTTGTGTTGAACAAACATATATTATTTCATATGAACAAATAACATGCTAGTTAATTCGTCGTCTCGATATTAGGAACGGGAGTGAATGTGTGGTTTACTTTGCTGTCAACTCTATTCCAGCTATGTCACGGCGGACTGTAATGAATCGGGTCTTGGTCAGACAAACTAGTGGTCAACAGCATGAGCAACAACCCACAAAGTCAGCCAGGTCACAAATTGTCACTAGCCTTTCCTCATTATTTTCCTCCTACGAGAAACATGGAGTAGTGGGGACCTATTGTCCCGAAATCCACTTCCTAAACGAAACAAAGTAACGTTTCTCATGATATAAACGTTCGTGCAAAGGAAAGTACACACGTGGAAACAAGAATTAACCAAAAAATTAGAAACGTTATGAAAACGATACAAGGCTGAAAACAGTCGTCGAAACAGTGATTTGATACCCGTATCAAATACATCACCAAATTATTGTTTGTTCCATTTGTAGACACCATCAAACATGTGTGTATATACTTACCTTTGCCAGACAGTCTGCATTCAGGAGTCCGCTATACTAAGTGTTATATATTTTAAGCTAGAATGTTTAATGGTATATGAAACCAGATTAAAGCCAAATGCAGTATTCGTCTGAGTGGGTGAGTGGGTTTAACGTCGCTTTTAACAGTATTCCAGTTATATCACGGCGTGTCAGCTTAATGTGGGAGGAAAGCCCGAAGGGATGCAGTTCTCAGGCGTTTACCGCTTTGTTGAAACCCATGAGCACGGATATGGTGCTGACAAACCTAGAAACATAATCGGGGTGAACCGGGATTCGAACCCACAATCACAGGTTTCTGGCGTGCCCAAGGGACGCAACTCTGCACAGCGAATCGCGGCGCCTTAGACGACTGAGTTCTTATTGGCGTATGGGTTTGGGTTTGGGTTGCTGTCGTACGATGTTGATGACATGACGTGCTTTTAGGGATCGCACAATGCATTCTGCTTTTAGTATAGAGTTCTTCTGATTATGGAAAAGGTTTTTACGCTTTTACTCAAACGATTAAAGATTGTCATGTATAAAGTAGTATGTGAATCAAGGAAGCTGACATTTCTTCAAGGTTTCAAATCCTTGTTAAATACGCAGTGCTATTATTCTGCAGTAACGACTAGGCGATTTTGACGCTCATAATTTCTTTTAGTACTTCGTGACTCAATTTGTGAATAAATATATATCATGTTATATGCGATTTACAGTTCACAGAAGATGAATTAACTTTCTTTCGTTATACTATTATCTCAAAAGAAAATATAAATCGTCAACGCCAAAGAATAACCGGTCTTGATTATACGCCGAAACAGTTTCCACTGAGCGCATTAGGCACAATAACGGTAAAAAGTATATGTACGGATCACTGATGACACCAGGTATTCGCGAAAAGGGTAAGCATGTCCTGCCTCAACGGTAGCACTCGTCACACACTCAATTTGCAAAACATATGTATTTGAGGCATGGCGCCACACAGTTGTACCACTGCCGTTCCATGGCCTTTTATGGCCTTTATCTTTCCCATACCTTAACATAGACTTACGACAGTCGTAGTGCTAAGGTTGATTTGTACAACGGCACCCAGGAACATAATCTAGTCGCACGAGTCCACTGACAGGATGGAGTGATTATAATATGTGAACTGGTTGAGTGTGTCTTCATGGCCCGGTGACTTTGATCTTTGCTCATGATGTCAACATCTAGGTTTCCTGGCAAAATTCGATCGTTTTACAGGTCGCCGTGATAGAACTGGTGCCATTGTACAGAGCGATCTTAGCGCTAAGGTGATCGTAACTCCCATTCCTTAACATTGACTTACGTCCCTTTTGCATTAATGTTAATGTTTCAACCTTTTCCTCAGCTGTGCTAAATTAATAGTTCACAAAATTTAATGTGTAATGCTGCCATTATGTGTTTTTGATGGATCACAATGCAAACCACCGACATTGATGCTGTAATATTGACTATTGATTAACTCATTCACGGTCAAACCAACAACCGACATCATATCATGCAGTAGTAACGATAAAACTATTACCAGTATACCTGAACGATATAAGTATAATCATGGGAGGTAGTCCATATTGTGTCGTCATTATCAGTAGAAATTTGATTTGGAGAATACGAAAACAGGCGTTCAAATAACCACCAACAGGCCTGTTCAACACAATCTTTGACATTGCACATTACGAGATATTATGGAACAAAACCCTCCAGAATCTTCTTTTGACTAATACGAGGCCCAGGTTTATACTCCGCCCTTCGTCAGCAGTACACAATAGAGTGAAGGTTTGGTTTGGTTTGTTTGTTGTTTAACGCCGCACTCAGCAATATTCCAGCTATATGACGGTGCTCTGTAAATAATCGAGTCTGGCTAGACAATCCAGTGATTGATATCATGAGCATCAATCCACGCAATTGGGATCGATGACATGCATCAACCAGGTCAGCGAGCCTGACCACCCGATCCCGTTAGTCGCCTTTTACGACAAGCATAGTCGACTTTTACGGCACGCATGGGTTGCTGAAGACCTATTCTACCCCGGAATCTTCACGGGTCCAATAGAGTGAAGGAGAAACCAGTGGCCGCTCATTGACAAGAGCTCAAACATTTAATGAAGAATTGTGCAGGGTGTGTGACGATGGAGGAAATGAAACAGGCCGTTTTCCACGGTGCAAACCACAAGCACGGGTATGGTGCTAACAGTGAGTGAGTGACTGAGTATGGTTTTAAGCCGCTTTTAGCACTATTCCAGCAATATCACGGCGGGGGACACCGGAAATGGGCTAACAAGTCTCAAAACATTACCAAGGCGTATTTGGGAATCGAATCCACAATCATAGATTTGTGGTACGCGCAATGGGTGTACGGCTGCAGAGAGAACTGCGGTTCCTGGGACGGCTGTAAAACACTTCAAAGTCTTAATTTAGCTTCCTGATGAATAAAGGATAAATGAACATGCTCTTTTTTTTAAAAAGTTGTGCAGTTGTGACTTCAAAGTACCGCGTACCAGTTGAGATGTTAATTACACAAGGCTTGTACAGGTGTATCACACACGTGGATAGTTCATATATCACTATTCCATTTAAATTGGTCATTGTAACATTGGTCATTGTAACATTGGTCATTGTAACATTGGTCATTGTAACAAAGATTTCGTAAGGCAGACTTTCACTTGGGAGTACTGTTGACACACTACTGGCGACTTCCCTGACATGTGTGACGTTTTGATTTCATTCCTTGGCTATTGTTGGGTGTCCATTTGTATTTGCAATTTAGGCCTTGATTATGAGTGCAAATGACACCTGAACACGCACACGACGTTTGTCTTGTGTACCGCGCAGTCCCTTTTATATATCGCATGTTCTGTGGTAGGGAACTTTGAAGTAGTCCGCAGCCTATAAAATACAACCGTAAAGTCCCTTACAATACCCACCATTGAAATGGTCATGAATGATCATAGGGGTTTGATGTCTGACTGTAGTCGATGACATTCTTGCTGATAGGGGCTGGAGAAGGGCAGAGTAGGTCCCTGGATACCGTTGTGCAAAGCGATCTTAGCGATAAGGTGATCGTAACTCCCATACCTTAACATAGACTTACGACAGTCGTAGTGCTAAGGTTGTTTTGTACAACGGCACCCAGGAACATAATCTAGTCGCACGAGTCCACTGACAGAATGGAGTGATTATAATATGTTAACAGGTTGAGTGTGTCTTCATAGCCCGGTGACTTTGATCTTTGCTCATGATGTCAACATCTAGGTTTCCTGGCAAAATTCGATCGTTTGCAGGTCGCCGTGATAGAACTGGTGCCATTGTACAGAGCGATCTTAGCGCTAAGGTGATCGTAACTCCCATTCCTTAACATTGACTTACGTCAGTCGAAGCGCTAAGGTTATTTTGTCTAACGACACCCCGGAATATCACTGCTGACTCCGGTGTAAAACAACATAAATTGTCACTTATTTGTATGTTGAAACGTATTTTTTGTGATGATTGCAGAGAAATATACACATAAAACATAGAGTTTGTTTTCAGAAAAGTGTTCTTTTACTAACGATTGCTAAATGGAACATGCAGGTTGTGATGTGATTTATTAAAATATGATAAATTCGATTCGTCATTTCTGCCACGATTTTGCTGTTAGTAAAATTAGTGACACACCTCTCTACAGTGAATTCGCGGCGCCTAATACGCCTGTGCTACTCGTGGCTCTAGTAGATTTAAATAAGTTGTATCATGTAACGAATAAAACATGCCATGTAAATCTTAATCGCCAAACTCTACCCGTCTTCGTAACATAGGCCTACCTACGTTATTCATATACAACACACAGTTCACGAACCACAAACTATATGCATCACAACACTGAATGTCGACGCTACACAAATATACCACTCGTTCCTCCTACGCTATGTGTACAATACGGTACTGTTGATACTATCGACTGCCTTGATTCAATACCAGCCTGGATTCCTGTTGGCGACATATCTCCACGATCGACCCCTCTATAAGAGGGAGTGTGTGGGTCGCTGAGCAGAAGGAAACTAATCGGGACAATGTTAGACCGATCAAGTATCTGTATACTACTGTTAACAACCCAAAAGGATAATTACGCTCTGGTAAGTGGCTCGTAATACATGTTGTTTTGTTACATGGTAGTGTTATTGGAGTTTAGCATATTACGTGTTTATGACGGTGCACGAACGTTCGCTACTTGCCAATGTGTTTTTGTTAGGGAGGAATTAGGGTACTTAGACTTAAACTCACATTG